GTGCCTCCTCACCTGGCACGTAGATCTCGCCGCGCTCCTCGTCCGGGAGTTCGCTCCAGTTCCTCTTGCACGTGGAGACGCATGGCTTCTTCACCAAGAACGCGCGGGGCATCTTCGCTCCCTCCTGGCCCGGCGCGGTTCGCTCCGGTAAGTCGAGTCCCGGTGGCCGTCCCACCTTTTCGGGCCGAGGCGCGGGAATGGGGACAGCTCAAGAAAGGAGTCGCCAAGGCGTGCCCACGTTCTGAGGAAAGAGAGTACCAGGGACCGCGCGTGGCGCTTCCAACTCCGCCGAAAGTCGCTGGTGCCCGCAGAGCGGGTGAAGCCAGGTGCACCCGGATCGAGAAGCGCCAAGTGAGCGTCCCTTGGCTCGACTGGCGTCCCTGCGGCCGCTCGCGAAGTCTTCAAGTGCGAGCTGGACGGACGGGTTCACGCTTTATTGGCTCGCGGCAGTGTGTGTTGGTGGCTCGGGCGGGGGTGGGGTGGGGGTGTTGATCTGATCTAATTAGCTTGGAGTGGCCGGGAGAGCGATGGCGCATGCGTTGGGAAATAACGGTGACAACCCACCTATTTGTTACCTGTCGAACCGGTTTCCATTCCGCTGCGGGTGAGGTGGCCTCGCGGCACGGGCGGGGCGGCCCGACGGGGGGGGGAGGGGGGGCGGGCTACGGTCCCCACACCCAACAGCACCCGGCCCGCCCCGGACCTCCCCTGCCTGGTGTGCTCAGATTTGCAAGCTAGAGTTTCGGAGGGAAAAGGGAAGGGAAGGGAAGGGAAGGGAGGGCAACGTTATTTGCACCGGCGCTCGCACGCTCCGTGGGCGATGACAAAACTCGCCCAACAGGACAGGGCCGAGCCTGACGCGCCCGGGGCGCCCCGAGAGGTACAAAGCCACCGGACGGGAACAGGCAGGCGGCCCAGGCTCGCACCCAGCGGCCCTGGATCCCCAAGGCCAGGCTCAGCAATTCTTGGTTCAGCACAGAGGTATTTGTTGGACAGTGGCTTCCTGCGGGAAGGCACGCAAGGCGGCAGGAGACCGTGGACCCGGAGGCTCGGACGCGCCTGCGGACCCAAAGCTGTAGCCTGCCTTCCAGTTGCGCGGGCGTTTAAACTTAATTGAGGTCAGCGTCTTGGCATATAGGCGAGCACAGTCGCCCAAACTCTCCTGGTCATAAATAGCCGGATTTCGGATTCCGAAAATCTGCAAGAGACCAGAAGATGAGGACCCCAGCTGAGGTCTGACCCAGTCCTCTTTTGCTTGTTGGCAGCCAGTGCCCTCCCTTCCTGGGTGTGAACTCAGCAAGCAACTACTTCCCATCCACCTTGCTGTATTCTTCAGCAGGCCCAGTTGGAGTGATGCCCCACCCCCATGGAACTGCCCGGGAGTGTTCCGTGGCCTTCATGAGCCATTTCACTGTGACACTTTGGCCGTGGCTGAGTTTCTTTTACTGGTTGACCTATTAAAGGCAGGGATGGGACCTGCAGTTAAAGGCTGCTAACATTTTAGACTCCAGACCTCAGTACACCTTTCTCATACAGCGTTAAATGTTTGCTGGAACAGATTGTGAGGGAAATTAGTCTGATAAATGAATTCACACAGTTCAAAAGTCAGGAGTCACAGGTCGTAATCCAGCACGAGGGAAGCTGGGGAAGAAAAGCTGAGCGTTAGAGGCCAGCCTAGGTTTCATGGTCAAATCCTGTCTCAAAAACAAAACAACAACGAAAGAGTCCAAAGAAATGAAAGCTATGGACATGGCTCAGAAGGTATTGCCACCAAGTCGGAATACCTGAGTCCAACTCCCAGGACCCATACGGTTGGTGGAAAGAGACAACTGATCCCACAAGTTGTTCTCTGACCTCCACAGGCACACCTTGGAATCGGTGCCGTGCATACATCTGCACAATATAAGCAAAAAAGGAAAGGGAAATGGTTAGGATGGACTCAGTCATTCAGAGTGGGAATACATCCCCCGGGGTGGATGAGGGGAGACACACCTGCCTCCTCCTCACTGACCAAGGGCCTGAACTCCCTGATCCTAGAGAATCCTATCACCTACCTCATAGTGTTACTGGGAAAGCGCTAGACCCTTCTTTGGAGCCAATAAAGCCCCCCCCCCCCGCACTGTCCCTAGAGAGATGCCTATCATAGTTCACTCTTCCCTTATCCACCTTTCATACTGATCTTGGACCTTGCCCTTCAACTAACATTAAGTGAGCACCTACTGTATGCTTATCTTTAGCAATAAATCCTGGGGCAGCAACGTGGATTGTCTAGGAGGTGGCTGAACTTGGCTCACTTCTCTCTCTCTCTCTTTCTCTCTCTCTCTCTCTCTCTCTCTCTCTCCCTCTTTCTCTTTCTCTCTCTTGACTTTTTGACTTTTTTGAAACAGGGTTTCTCTGTGTAGCCTTGGCTGTCCTGGAACTCACTCTATAGACCAGGCTGCCCTTGAATTCAGATATCCGCCTGCCTCTGCCTCCCGAGTGCTGGGATAAAAGTGTGTGCCACCATACCTAGTTTGGCTTACTTACTTTACAGTCTGTCTGTCTTGCTTTCTTTTCCCCTCAGTGAAACCCATTTCTTTTTTCTTTCTTTCTTTTTTTTTTTTTTAAGACAGGTTCTTTTCTGTGTATTGATGTCTGTCCTGGCACTCTCTCTGTAGACCAGGCTGGCCTTGAGCTCACAGAGGTCCGCCTGCCTCTGCCTCTGGACTGCTGGGATTAAAGTATGCCCAGCTTCCATAGTATTTCTTGAGCTCTTTTATAGTGCCATCCCGACAGTCTGGTCCCAGTGAGTGTGCAGGAGAGCCTATGGTGAAGTCTTCTACAGGTGACCCTGAACACAAAGCCAGGATTTCTCATCAGAGAGCAGTTTGGATGTTCAGAAAGCCAGGAGGGGAGCTAAAATGGGTGAAGCCAGCCAGTCCACTGTCTCCCCTGGTACAGAGTCTGAGAAAGAGGGCTCTGTCTGTGCTGTCTCTCTGCTGCTGCAGCTCCAGTGGAATATCAATATTTATGGAATGAGTGACTAGCCTGTACATTTCTACTTATTTCTATGTATGTTTTGCCTGCATATGTGTCTGTGTATCACATGTATACCTGGTGCTTGAGGAAGCCAGATGTGGGCATCAGATGTACTGGAATTGGAGTTGCAGGTGGTGGTGACTGGCCATGTAGATGCTGGGAATTGATCTCAGATCTTCTGTAACAGCAACAGGTGCTCTTAACCGATGAGCCATCTCTACAGTTACTCTACCTTATATTTTAAGACTGTGTCTCTTTGTCAGGTGTGGTGGCACATGCCTTTAAGCCTAGCACTTGGGAGGCAGAGGCAGATTTATCTCTGTGAGTTCAAGACCATCCTTATCTATATAATGAGTTTCAGGGGACCCAGGCTATGTAGTGATACTGTCTCAAAAAAGTAAAAAAAGATAGGGCCTCTCACTGGACCTAGAACTTGTAGTTTCAGCTACACTGGCTGAGCGATGAGCTCCAGAGATTTTCCTGTCTCCATCCCCCAGCACAGGATTCCAGGTGGACATGGGAGCTGAGCATCTGAACTCAGGTCCTCATGCTTGCTTAGCAAGTGTTTTCCTATTGAGCCATATGATAACCCATAGAATAGGTCAAACAAAACACTCTTGTGGTTTATTTGACCCACGGGTTACTTGCCTATGAGCTTTGGGTCATGGGCACCTTGGAGCAAGACAAGTTATGTGAACTGGGTCTGCGCTAAGTTATGAGCACCGTGAAGAGACACTTCTGCTCTGTCACCGTTTGCTAAATACCATTCATCTGTATCTCTTAATTCAGCTCCCATATATTTCATGAGTTCCCACTAGGTACTAGCTCTGGGGAATTTTCCAATGCAATAGAAAACTGCAACGTGGAAGAGCTAACTAGGGGCTGTGATGGAGCAGGTGGGGTTGCTGGGGTCTGAATGAGAGGTGGGAGCCAGCTGGACAAAATGGCAAAGAGCATAAGCAGCAGGAAAAGCTGGGACCAAGGCCCATGATAGAAAACCAGCCTAGTGTGTGCAGCTGTGGTGGATGGATGCTGGATGCTGGATGGGAGGGAAGCTGGGTGGGGGGGAGGTCATGGCATGACCTGTGATGTGCTGAGTGAAGCAGAGGCAGGGAGGTGGCAGTAAGGAGACCAGGGCTGTGTTGGAGCTACTGTAATGGACCAAGTAAGAGAAGGTGGGTTGAGTCACCGTGAAAACCAAGCCATGAGTCATTTGTTTTTAGTGACATCACCTGTTGGTATAGAGGACAAGAGAATGAAGGGAAGAGGAACCACAGCAAGCAAGGACCATGATGTCCAATGCACACTTTCTGAATATGATGCTCAATTTCCATCCCAAGGAGCCTGAGGAGTTGGGAAGGGCATTGGACAGTGGGCGAGTGTTTAGAACTATTCCTTCATGTCTTTAGAAGTCCTTAGGAGGAGCTAGGATGGGATGGAGATGAGGAAGGGGCTGTGAACCTGGAGGACTAAAGCACAAAGGATCATGGTAGATACATGCTGAAAAGACACAAAAGAATCCAACTGCAGATAGTGCCTGTGGGTCTGGGTCAAGTCACCTACCCTCTCTGGGCCTCAGTTTCCCTAGCTGTAACATTGGGCTCCTAGTTCTAGCTCTGACCTTTAGTAGTCAAGAGATTCTGCAGAATGAGCTTTGCCTAGGGGACAGCAGCTCTGAAGTAGACAGCCTTTCAGAGCAGGCTGATGGGGTCCAGCCACTTGAACGGCTCCCCCACCCCTGCACTCCCTCAGCTAAGCCATCACCATCTCCTCAGCTTAGCCTCTTCTGCAACTACGTTTTTTCCACAGAACTGGCTGCTCCTCATTCAGGCTTCTGGCAAATGTTCCTTTGTCCTAGAGCTGATGCTCCAGCTAAATTCTTGTCCCCATTGTCACCTCTACCACTGGATTCTGTTCTCTTTGTATTGTCTTTCACTATGACATTTTGTTTTTACCTGTTTGTCAATGCCATCCCACCAGTACTAGGTTTCCTAGGACCTGTTTATTTTTATCTTTTATATTATTTTGAATGTATGCATGCATATTTTAGGTGTGTGTGTGTGGGCGCGTGTGCGTGTGCGCGTGCGCGAGCTTACAAGTATGTGAAGCCCAGGAATTGAAGTCAGGTGTTTTCTTCAGTTGTGCGCGCGCGTGTGCGTGTGCGCGTGCGCACGCTTACAAGTATGTGAAGCCCAGGAATTGAAGTCAGGTGTTTTCTTCAGTTGCTCTCCACAGGAATTTTCTTCCTTGCTTCTCTTTCTCTTTGTTCCTTTCGTTTTTAGACAGGGCCTCTCACTGAACCTGGAACTCAAAGATTCTAGATGGTCTGAGCTCCCAGGATCCTCTTGTTTTTGCCTCCCTAGCACTAGGATCATAGGTGCTCACTGCCAGATTCAGCTTTTCTGTGGATGCTGAGGGATTCAAACTTAGGGCCTCGTGTTTATGTAACAAGCCCTAATCCCAAGGAACCCTATTTACAAAGCCATTTTTAAAATTATTTTACCACACCATGGTACTAGGCGTTGAACATGCTAAGCAAGCCTTCTACTACAAATATATAACTCATTTCCCTTTTTGCTTCCTGAGATGGGGTCTTGCTAAGTTGACCTAGTTGACCTTGATCTCTCTGTAGACAAACCTGGAGGTTTTGACCTTTCTGCCTCAGGTTCTTGAGTAGTTGTGATTTCTCTCTCTCTCTCTCTCTCTCTCTCTCTCTCTCTCTCTCTCTCTTTCTCTCTCTCTCTCGATACAGCCTCACTATATAGTCCTAGACTGCTGGTCTGAAATCATTTCTGCACCCTGAGTGCTGGGATTATAGGTGTCTACCACCATGGCCAACCCAAATAACACCATTTTAGATAGCTCTATTATCATACAGCTATCACCCTTAAGTTCAGAAGCTTTCTGTCTTAGAGTGACTATTGCTTTGATGAAATACCATGACCAAAAGTTGGGGAGGAAAGCGTTTATTTGGCTTATGCTTCCACATCATAGTCCATCACAAAAAGAAGCCAGGACAGGAACCTGGAGGCAGAAGCTGATGCAGAGGCCATGGAGGGCTGCTCCTATGGCTTGCTAAGCCTGCTTTCTTATAGAATTCAGGACCACCAGCCCAGAGATGGCACCACCCAAAATGAGCTGAATCTTCCTACATCAATCAGTAATTAAGAAAACATCTTACATCTGGATCTTATGAAGGCATTTTCTCAAGTTTCCTTCCCTTCTCTCATAACTCTAGCTTGAGTCAAGTTGACATAAAACTATCCAGCACAGTTGTCATCACTGCAAAAGAAAACTGTGCACATTTGCAACAACCCTCCATCCCCACAACCCCTGCTCTGGTACCTACTATGCTTTTAGGTCCAGGAATTCCTTTTGTGAAGCATCCCTGTATCCACAGCATCCAGTGCTATGGGGAAGGGGTTTTTAGGTCCCATTTTACAGATTAAAAAAATGGGGGGGGGTAGAAGGGTGGAGGGCAGACTATGGAAGGACTGGGAAATGAATGGGATTGGGGTTCATGATGTCAAATTTCCAAAGACTCAATAAACAAAAAATAAAATCTGGCCGGGCATTGGTGACACACGCCTTTAATCCCAGCACTTGGGAGGCAGAGGCAGGTGGATCTCTGTGAGTTTGAGACCAGCCTGGTCTACAAGAGCTGG